TTGGTTCTGGGTTTCCCAGGTATAAAGCACTCAGAAATGATTTGCCATTTTCTTCGTCTGGGACTGTACAGCTTGCCCACAGCTATATTTGTGGGCAAGCTATATTTGCAGGAGGTACAGTGAGGGTTCAAATTCCCAACTTCTATCTCTGCAGCCAATATGGAGGCAGTGACAGACTTTACTTTCTTGGGCTCCATGATCACTGCAGATGGTGACAGCAGCTACAAAAGATACCTGGTTATTGGAAGGAAAGCAATGAGAAACCTTGACAGCATTTTAAAAAGCAGAGACTTCACCTTGCCGACAAAAGTCCGCATAGTCAAAGCTATGGTTTTTCCTGTAGGGATGTATGGAAGTGAGAGCTGGACCATAAAGAAGGCTGACCGCCGAAGAATTGGTGCTTTTGAATTGTGGTGCTGGAGGAGACTCTTGAGAGTGCCCTGGACTGCAAGGAGAACAAACCTATCCATTCTGAAGGAAATCAACCCTGAGTGCTCACTGGAAGGACAGATCCTGAAGCTGAGGTTCCAATACTTTGGCCATTTCATGAGAATAGAAGACTCAATGGAAAAGACCCTGATGTTGAGAAAGTGTGAAGGCAAGAGAAGAAGGGGATGACAGAGGATGAGATGGTTGGACAGTGTCATCGAAGTGACCAACACGAATTTGACCAAATTCCAGGAGGCCGTGGAAGATAGGAGGGTCTGGTGTGCTCTGGTCCATGGGCTCACGAATTAATGACTAAACAACAACAAATCTCTGCAGCCGGGTCCCTAACTTACTGAGCTATCCAGCCAGCTCATTGGTTCTTGTGTTCTATTTCCTGTATCCTAGGTGGCTTAAATTAGAGCACACCTATGAATCCCCCCCCAAAGACTTTACTTTGTTCAGGAGGCTTCTGGAAGGCTTACTTCCAAACCACAGAGAATTCCTGCCAGGCCCTGCCACACTGTTATCAGGTCTCATTTAAAAGAAGACTCATGAGTAGTAGTGCTAGTGCTCCACCCTTGCCTTGCTCCAAATGGCACAATGGCCCTAAGCACCTGTATTCACCAGTTTTCTTCCCAGTCTTCTCCCCTGATCCTGGCTTTGTGGTGTGCTGACATTATGCAGGCACAACTCATATAACAAACACTGTCATGCTGCGACGGTGAGCCCTAGCATTAGTTGGGAAAGGTGGGGAATGGGCTTCCAGGCTTTTCAGCTGCCATATAAACAAAAATCACACTTGAGTTTCATCTAGTGATGCTTGCCCTGAGACTTCCCTCTCCACTTAGTTTTGGAGAAGCCTGGCAAGGCTCTGAGATGTCAGGTGTTGCTCCAAGACCTGCCCATTCTAGTGCTGGTACAAATTCAGATAAGCTTCCTACACAGAGCAAAAGATAAAACACACTACATGCCCACACAATCGGCATGAGATGTTCTCCAGAACAAAGGAAGATCCAATTACATCAGGGAGAAACAGAGAGTTTTAAAAGTTTGTTCAACCTCCCCTTTAACAACCAATATTACTCCTAAATGGAAGATGTAAGTCAAACTACCATGCCTGCTGGAAAGGAGATGAAACTGCTCCCCACCAGATGAACTAAATAGAAGAGGGAGACAATGGATCACTCATTCTTTATAACCTCCTCATTACACTTTCTTTGTCATCTTAAATTATAGGCCTGTAAAAGTACCCGGCTTAATTGTCTTGTAAAGTCACTGTCAGGTCTATTTCTTTGCAAAATGTGAGGGTGCAGAAATGAAGGCTATCTTAGGTATTCTTTTGTTACTTCCTTGTGCGGGCAGCAAACATTTCAATCAGCTTGCAAAAGCACCTCGGTTCTCCCTACCTCCTTCTTTCAATACCAGAGATGAATTTCTACTGAGATCACGATGAGGAAAAGAGTTATTTTCAAAAGGAGGGGGAAGTTAGCACAACTATGAAAGTGGGTGGGCGTATTATTTCAACTAATATACTGCCCCCATAGTGCTAGAGCACTCTCAGGGAGATCTACAAAATAGTTATGCAAACAACACTTTGCCCACCCCCACCCCCACCCCCCAAGCAAGCTGTGTAACCAATTTACCAACTTCAGAAAGATGGAAGGCTGAGTACCTTCATTTGGAACAACCTGGTTTTTGAAGAGGCCAAACAAACAAACAAAGCTGTTCTGGTAGGACTGTTTTGGAGCAGGTAAAGTAATGGGTGAACTCACCCAGTTCATAATTTTATGTTCATAGTACTTGGAGACACTACTAACTAAACACACAAATACACACACCCACACCCCTTGCCAGTGTTGTGCTATAGTGCAGAACAACAACAACAACAACATATTGTGCAATCTTCACTGCAGGGTTTCATTCACACCCCAACACTCCCATCAACAACAGGGTCTCGATAGCTACTGTTCCATCATCCGCAATCGCAGCTAATAAAAGTTACATTTTGGACTGCAACATCCCAAATCCCACCATGCCCATGGAGGATTTTTTTGGACTGCAACATCCCAAATCCCACCACGCCCATGGATGGATACCAGGTTGTCTGGAGGATTTGGAGATGTTTTAGTCCAGAATGGCAACTTTTCCCAAGTTTGGTACAAATGGCACCACATCGCCACATACTGTTGGCCATGCAACAAGACTCCGTCGCTAATACATCTTCCATTTACCAATGCTTTTGTGTCGACTTCTTGTCCCTCCAGTTATTTACCAGCAAATACGGCAGCCAAAGGAAGGCATAGCTATTCAGACTCAGATTAAGTGTCATAAATTACTGCTAAAACGGTGCACAAAATCTGGATGCTTGATGTGTTGGTATTCAATGAACGTTTACTATTCCAACATAACAGCCACAAGACATCTTGGTGGAAGGGATTTCGGGCTCCCTAAAAGCTAGAGAGATCATGAAATCACTGTAGGCAACAAAGTCCCTATGAAAAGATTTTGGTGTTCTAGGATGCTTGGCTTGGGAAGCTTCCCAGATTTCTTCTTCTTCCAAGTTTAGAAATGTCACTGGCCCTCCTGCTGGTCTTTGGGGGCCTTAAACATTCCCCTTGCAGATGTCTGTTCACTTCTGTTTGAACTGGGATTACTGCTGATCTCAGTAGTAATCTCAGCTCAAATAGGGAAAGAACAAAAGATGACATTTCAAGCCAACCTAAAATGTGCAGCCAACATTACCAGTCAAACAAGAGCTTTTAGGAAGTATCTGAGATGATTTCTTTAAGGAAAAAAATCACGGTAGAACTGTAGTATTATGTCTGATAGGCCTAAAGGTAAAGGTAAAGGTTCCCCTTGACAATTTTTGTCCAGTCGTGTCCGACTCTAGGGGGCAGCGCTCATCCCGCTCTTCAAGCCATAGAGCCAGCGTTTTGTCCGAAGACAATCTTTCCGTGGTCACATGGCCAGTGCGATTTAGACACGGAACGCTGTTTACCTTCCCACCGTGGTGGTACCTATTTATCTACTCGCATTTGCATGCTTTCGAACCACTAGGTGGGCGGGAGCTGGGACAAGCAACGGGCGCTCACTCCGTCGCATGGATTCGATCTTACGACTGCTTGGTCTTCTGACCCTGCAACACAGGCTTCTGCGGTTTAGCCCACAGTGCCACCACGTCCCGCTGATAGGCCTACATCTTCCCAAATTCACTTTGGACTAAAGCCAGTCAAGTCAAGTCTTCTCTGCGGAACGATTTAGAGAACCAATTTCTAATCCAACATCCTCTGAATATTTTTATGCAACATCTACCATAATCACGGGTGCCTGGGGATGTTAGGATTTGTAATCCAAGATATCCAAAGAGCCTCAGATTGGAGAAAGACAAGATTATACACTAATATACAGTAAGTCTCCAACATCCATCTGCCAAACATTTATAATGAACTGTGCATGAGTGTGCAGAAATAAACATAATATGATCCATTCAGAATACTTTACTTGTCTGCCCAAGGATGATTCTGTATCTTGTTCTGTGCAAGAGGCACATGCACCACACCCTTTAACCCCTAGAGCTGGTGGAAAACACTTCCATTATTAATAGTGATCCCATTTTATTAACAAATCTAACAAATATTAACAATAATCAAGAATATCCACATTGTTGACAATATTAATAAGGCCAACAAGGGGCAGAATCATTCACAAAGTGGTTCATAGTAGAACCAGCTGGCCAGTTGCCACAGTTGCATAGGAAGGTATTGTAAGAAACACTTTCCTTATGCAAAAAAATTTATTGTAAAAAATATTTATTTATTTATTTCTATTTCTATACCACCCCATTCACTATATACAATGAAATCATAGGCAAAAACACTACCTAACAAATGTAAAATTACATTGAAATACAATAAACCCTGTTGCTAGCTTTAAAACTACCTTTAAATCTAAGTAGCCATCCTTTGGTCTCAAGAGACTATGGTAACATGTCTTGGAACAGTATCTAGTGTGGCTGAGAAGACCAATTCGAGAGTGACAATCCTTTCCACACTGAAGACACTGTCCAGCTCCCTTATTTTGCTGGTTTCGGGACTGGTGTATTGTGTAGTATTTGTAAAAATACACAAATTAAAGCCCATTTGAACTTCACAGGACAATATTTAGAATTGATAGAAGGCAGCTTTCTATAATTCTGTCGCCATAACCAGCATCCAGCATCTTAAATTGAGCATGGAAACTAACAGGGAGACCCAATGAAGGTGTACAAAGACTGGGGATACATGCCCTTATCTGCTGGTACCTCTGATGAGTTTGGCCGCTGCATTTTGGAGGTGCTGAAGTTTACTTTTAAGGAAATACCATCTTGAACAAGTTCTAAAACTATTTAATGGCTCATGAGACTGAACCATTGCATGAGCAGAAGAATAAGCAGGATTCTGTCCAAGGTTAGTCTTCAAGACACAATACGTTGATAGGGATTGTATTTGTAAAGATGACTAAATCATGTTACCATTTAACTGCAATTTCCAACTAATCTATCTTCAGCATTGTTTGATCTACATTTGTCTTACCTTTAAAGAACCATGCTTTTCTTTTCTGCCAACGATCAATACCTCTGCTGTATCTTCAGCTTGTGCTGACCGGGCATGGATGAAAAAGGTCCTGCCAGCTTCTGATAGGTTTCTCAGTGCAACTAAACCTCCGTTGGGTTCCACTTTGAAGTCTGGATTTGAAACTTCAAAGCTCAATCTGTGATTTCCTTGACAATCGTCGAACACCACTGGAGGTGAAGAGGAGAGACAGAAAGCAACGTCAGGGTTATCTATTAAACACCATCTGTTTAATGACATTAACAGCTAGTTGGTTTATTCTCCAGAAACTTTCATCATCATTCCTCAAAGGACAAAGGGAGGTCCAGATAATGAGGCAACTTTTAACATTTAAACACAGTCTTATTTCACAGAACTTTTGATCTTCTGTGAACAAGGCTACAACCGCATGAGATTCAAGTCCATCCATTGATGTAGGCCTTAACACTTCTGAGAAAAGCCTCATGGAGGATCTCTGTGGTGCTGAGCAATAATCAAGGACGTCCCAGAGCTGGAGAACTGTTGACCGTGCTGCCAGCTGAGAAGTACAACCCTTGACAATTTTTGTCCAGTCGTGTTCGACTCTAGGGGGCGGTGCTCATCCCCGTTTCCAAGCCATAGAGCCAGCGTTTTGTCCGAAGACAATCTTCCATGGTCACATGGCCAGTGCGACTTAGACATGGAACCCTGTTACCTTCCCACCGAGGTGGTCCCTATTTATCTACTTGCATTTGCATGCTTTCGAACCGCTAGGTTGGCGGGAGCTGGGACAAGCGACGGGAGCTCACTCCGTCGCGTGGATTCGATCTTACGACTGCTTGGTCTTCTGACCCTGCAGCACAGGCTTCTGCGGTTTAGCCCACACCGCCACCACGTCCAAATGAAGTACAACCACACCATTCACAAATAAGTTTCTATTACACAAAGGTAGGCTGAACAAGAAAGAAGTAAGAAGATGGATTTTGTGGTCCACTTCTCATTTTGCTATATGATTCCCCCCTCCCCAGGTTCTAAGGTTATAAGCTAAACAAAGAAACAGAATGTGCTCTGAGGGAGCAGGGTCAAGATGATCAAGATTTGGTGACTGGTGTTGAGGATGTTGGACTTGTGAGATACAGGTTTGGGACCACCAACGTGCCATCAAACTTACTGGGAGACCTTGGGGCAATTACATTCACTCATCTAATCTATTTCACAGGACTGTTGTGTGGTTATCTTAAGATAAGTTAGACAAGTGCCAGGTACACCACTTTGAACTCACTGGAAGAATCTGCCTATAAAATAGTTAATACATTAGCAGGTATAATTCAAAACAAAACTCACAATCTTCTTCGTTCACCTGCAAACAGTAATAAAACAGCAATACAAGTAATATTACATCAGCCTTTTCTTCTTTTTGGTTTCCTTTCTCTGGCAGAAAAAGATAAATTGCAGCCCCTTATAAGCCTCCAGGAATGGTGATTCACCTTCAACAGAAGCCACTGACACTGACACCTAAATACCTGTTTTTCAAATCAGGAAGTAAAATCCTAGCTACACCCAGTTTAATTTTATTCTGGTTGGTTGGTTGGTTGGTTGCATTTTTGGCATTTCAAGTGGTCTGGGTATCTCCCGCGTTCCCAGTGTCCTGAGTCAGAAAACTGGGATAGGAAACAAGCCAGAACTGCCCAACTGCCTGATACATATAGAAAGGAACTTTGATTCTGCTTATTGTATTCCTTCTTGTTAGAGTACATAATTGTGCAACCCAGCATGTATATATTTGTATATGCATGTATTAAAATGATTGAGATGTGTTATTTATATAATACAAACTTGTAATTAATTGGATTCTGTCTAATGCTGGCCAGTGGGTGTTTAACTGCCAGACAGAAGTGACAGTTTTGCTGAGGTTTATCTTTGGTGGTGCAATGGTTTAATTGCAGTACTACTGTGAAGACTCTGCTCATAGCCTGAGTTCGATTCCAGGTGCAGGTAGCTGGCTTGAGATTGACTCAGCCTTCTATCCTTCTGACGTCAGTAAGTTTGAGTATCCTCTCTCTCTCTCTCTCTCTCTCTCTCTCTCTGTGTGTGTGTGTGTGTGTGTGTCTAGCCTGCATAATTAAATTGTAACTTGCCCAGAGTGCTGTGACATGGTTTAAAGGAGTGGGGTAAAAATCCAATAAATAAAGAAATAAAAATAAGCAGCACACTTTATTCTGCTTGTTCTATTTGTTAGGATGAGCTTTTTTCCTCGATTGAAAAGTAGTGTTTTTCAGTTATGCTATTCTACTATTAGTATGCTTTGAATCTGTTATAAGTCTATCAAGGACAAATTTATATCAAGTAAAAAGTCCAAGTCCTTTTAGTTTATTTTTCAACATGTTATACAGGAAACATTCTAAAAGTCTGTCCATGATTAAATGGATATTAAATAGATATTATTTCATCTGCTGGCAGACACACACATTCAAGGGAGAACCTTTTCCTGATCTCAGTATTTTTTTTTCCCTACTCATGCTTGATCTGCTATGAGTGCAAACTCAGAAATTTGAATACTTTTGATCTACAGCTTCACTGCACACCCAGTACAAAAAGAGGAAAGCACACACACAATAGTAACTTTGTTCACCCATAACTCACTTTTTTCATGCTCTGGGGTAAGACAACCACAATAATTCACTGTATTGCAAGGGTGAACGATCAACACTCTGATACCGACAGTATGTTTGAGTTAGATAAATGTTGTTATCCAACACACTGGGAGTATATCAGATACCAATTAGAGCCTTGCACCAAATTCAGGTAAATCCCTAATTCTCAGCTAAATTGCCCTGATTCGGACTCAGTTGTGAATTCGGGTAAATCCCTAATTCTCAGCTAAATTGCCCTGATTTGGACTAAGTTGTGTGAGGCCCAGATCAATACAGAACAGCCAGCTTTAGTTCCAGGGTGAAGTGAAACGAATTTGCAAACTGATTCAGATTCGGAGGGGGGGGGAATGAAACGGATGAATCATTTCAACCTACCATCTTTTCCCTTGAAGCAGATTTTAAAGGCACTTATTGCATAAGCCCCTAAAACTATCTACGTACAATTTGGCAGCTTTACTCCCTTATTTAAGGTCCCCCAAGTCTCTACATTTCAGTTAAATCTGTGCAAAAATAAAACAAGTTATAGCCAACTTGATTTCAAACTACCTTAACTTTATAACTTTGCAAACTGATTCAGATCCAGGAGCACAAATCACTCTAAATCCAGAGGCAGAACATTCAGAAACCCTTAAATAGGCTTCCGGATGAAATTGGGGGTCTCATGCATAGCCCTATTTTGAATGTTAGGTTTAGGATTTCTGTTTCCCACATGGTGAAATGAAACAGATTGTATTGTGTTTTTTTTCCCTAATCTTCCAGCAGGTGTCCAGATTGAAATTTATTCTCTGAAATATTTTTTTCAGAAACTGGGTTAAATAAACTTTACAGATAACATCTACTTCGGGAGCTGTTACTCCAAATTTATGATGCGAGAAACAGCAGGTGAGAACAAAAATGTTTTCAGTTAATAATTATAGAGTAATCATTCCAGATGTGGTCTGGACATCTAGAATCTTTATGGCTAACAAAAACAGTTCTGGGTAATAATTTTGTTTCATATTAAGAACCAATTCTGTTCGTTTGATGGAAATTATTGCAGGATGATTGGTTTCGCTATCAAGGCGCCTCCCTGAATATACGAATTTCCACACTTCAACAGGGCCATAATTGTTATTGTGTGGACCACTGTAATTATGTTCAGCACAGGCTTTTCCTTATGGGAAGCTTATCATATTTATGGATTTGAGATTTATCTCTAATGCACTGCCAACTTGCAAAGCTCACTCTTTTAGAAGGTGTAGTTAATAGAATCCATAAATGTACATCCATTAGGTGCATTGTGGGTGCGCTGAGAAACATAGCAAAGCCGCCTAAAAACCGACCAAGAGCAATAAAATCTAATTAATGAAACTGAGTTCAAAAATACAAAAGGAGAATTTGATGAGAATTAAGGAATATATTAACAAACACTGTTTTAGACTAAATAAACTATATCAAAGCATGAGTTATTGGTACGAGAGGAAACTGATCCAGCTAGCCTCTTTTCATAAGCATTCTTAATTTGCACTTCCAGAATGAATATGCAAACTGAAATACCCTTTCTGTATTTGCTATTCACTGAAATTTTCCTCTGCAGTTCTTTGATCAAGCTACGCACACAGAAACATGTACATTGGAGAAGAGTGCCCATTAAAAATGTGCATACTTGTGAATATAGGATAGATGGATCAGCTCGGAGGAAACTGTCTACAAAAATGTATTATCATAGGCAAAACTGTGCACAAAATATTTTTTAATGTTGGAGACATGTACATAAAAGGAAAAAAATGGGGGGATCAGACAGCAGAAATGTGAGTAATTAAGCCATCTTCAGGTGTTATTTCTCAGGTTTTCTAGTTGTTGTATGTAAAGCTCTTGGATAGCATAGCCAAGAATGAGACATGTGGGAGCTGCAGCATCTGGACGAGGGGCTCAGTTATCCACCATAAAGCCGCCTAAAAACCGACCAAGAGCAATAAAATCTAATTAATGAAACTGAGTTCAAAAATACAAAAGGAGAATTTGATGAGAATTAAGGAATATATTAACAAACACTGTTTTAGACTAAATAAACTATATCAAAGCATGAGTTATTGGTACGAGAGGAAACTGATCCAGCCAGCCTCTTTTCATAAGCATTCTTAATTTGCACTTCCAGAATGAATATGCAAACTGAAATACCCTTTCTGTATTTGCTATTCACTGAAATTTTCCTCTGCAGTTCTTTGATCAAGCTACGCACACAGAAACATGTATATTGGAGAAGAGTGCCCATTAAAAATGTGCATACTTGTGAATATAGGATAGATGGATCAGCTCGGAGGAAACTGTCTACAAAAATGTATTATCATAGGCAAAACTGTGCACAAAATATTTTTTAATGTTGGAGACATGTACATAAAAGGAAAAAAAACAAATGGGGGGGGGATCAGACAGCAGAAACGTGAGTAATTAAGCCATCTTCAGGTGTTATTTCTCAGGTTTTCTAGTTGTTGTATGTAAAGCTCTTGGATAGCATAGCCAAGAATGAAACATGTGGGAGCTGCAGCATCCGGACGAGGGCTCAGTTATCCACCATG